ACGCTTTAAAGCTGAAGTCTATGGAAAACCATTGAAACTTTGAATGGCCATATCTCCATAGGGGCGCAGCAAATCCGCACCAAATTCGGGGGATTCCCTTCAGCTCGAGGAACCCTCTCGAACGCGAATCGAGTGTACGTCTAGAGGTTTGCTTTCGAATGAGACCCCCCCCGCGTCGATAGCCCCTGGGGTTCGGGAGTTACGGGTGGTTAAATTCGCGGTCCGACGCCGAACGATCAAGCGATCCCGGATTCGACCGTAAGTACCCTGCGAAGTGGACTTCACATGAAAAAATTCACCATGATTCCAGTTCCAAGGGAACGTACACGTTACATTCAAAGGGCATTAAAGTGCGCGAGACGTGAATTTATATTTAGGGATGCACCGAATGTTCGGCAACCGAACCGAATAAGCGAAAAGACTGAATAAATTGTACCGAACAATGATATGACGCGATCAAATAGCAATCAGCGCAGAGTGAGAGGTGCGCACTCTTTATTATGCAGCACACACGCCAGCAGTGTGGAAGCATTTAAACTGTCGGAGAAAGACGCAAAAATCATTACAAGCACCGACAGCGAGAGACTGTTTAGGACTGCATCGCATGTCTTCAATGAGAAGAGGAAGGGGTGATTGTTGCTGGTTACTGTATGATGATTTTACTCCCTAATATCGGTATCAGTCGGGCTCTAATATATAGTGACAACAATTCAACAATCAGGTCATACATGTACAAATATTCAGAAATGTGCAAACTTACTTAGAAATTCATGAATTGTTTTTTCATTTGAAAATCTTATTTTGTGAAAGAAAATTTGGTTGTGCACTTGCAAACCATATTTTGTTAATATGAATTAGATTATGAGTTTTCAAATACATAAACGTTTGCTTGAGAGAGTAAATTAGCTTACGCTTTTCTGATTCGTAATATATTTGTAAAAAACATTAATTTTGTTTTATCTCTGTATGCAAAGCCTGAACAGAGCAGAAGAAACGACAATCTATCGCTCACAACTACACAAGAACACACGTCTCCATCACTGGTGTTATTGATCTGAGCCTCTGCTGCAGGATTTACCCAGAGATCCACAAACACCATCACACACAAGACAACAGCAGCCCTTAACACGGCCAAGCTGAGCTATTTCTGGAAAAACACCCCATTAGAACACCATGGCCTGAGATTCATTTCACAAAACACAAGGTATTTCAGTCTTTAGATGCCTTGAACGGGGAGACTGATTCACTTTGGAGGGAGAGCAGCACTAAGATCTCCAACTATCTGACCTGCATTTAATTACATTTATAGTTATTAGATTATTACATTTAAGTCAATTGGATTTTTCAGCCATGTTATCATGAAAATAATCGGATCGTTTAGAAAAGATTGAAAAAAGTGAATCAAATCTGATTGAAAGATTTCAGTAATTTATAGTCACATATAGTCTTTCTAATATAACTAAATACCGTCCAAAAGTAAGAATTTTATTTTATTTCATTTTTTTTTATTTTTATATATATTTATATGTTTTTTTTTTTCCAGCAAGGATGCATTAAATTGATCAAAAGTGACAGCAAAGACATGTATAATGTTACAAAACATTATATTTCAAATAAATGCTGTTCTTTTGAACTTCTATTCATCAAAGAATCCTGAAAAATAAAACGTATAACGTATAACGATTTCTGAAGGACCATGTGACACTGAAGACTGGAGAAATGATGCTGAATATCACAGGAATAAATTAAAAATTTTAATATATTCAAATGGAAAACAGTTATTTTAAATTGTAATAATATTTCACTATTTTCACAATGTTTTTGATTAAATAAATGCAGCCTTGGTGAAAAAAGACATTTAAAAAAATCTTACCGACCCTAAACATTTGAACTGTAGTGAAAGTCAATGGAACTTTTCATTCACATTTTCATTCATTTTCACAAATCTTACTAAAAGATACAATCAAAACCAATTTTAATCAGTCAGGTTTTTTCAAATAACTAGCTTGCAGTATAAGCAATAATAGTACTTGCCATAGTGCAGATGGGTGATGTTGGCCATCAGCGGTTGAAGAGCACAATTACTCCCACAGACGTCATCTTGACATTTAAAAACAACACACGAGCCAACATCCCTCTCAAACGTGTCTCCATGTCTCCTCACCTCCGTCTGCTTCCATTCATGCTTGAGCGCTGCAGGGACTCATTTACATGCTCCCCAAAACCGCAGCTCAGCGCCGGAGGACATTTCAGCACCGCTCTCTCCTTCCAGAGAAGAGCCCAACAAACGCTCGCTCCTCGTTCGTTCAGACAAAACATCTGCGAATGCGAATGCCAGTGTCACAGCAACAAGCTGTTAACAGGTGCCCTTTTCACCGCCCACGGCCCACACCCCACACCCAACACCCCAGCAGACCGCCATGTTCAGAATTCAGAATTAACGCTGAAATCCTGTGCTCTTCTTCACTTGTTAGCTGTGAGCTCTTACACTGACATTCAAGTTCACTGGTCCAGTTTCTGAGCTGATTTCTGCTGGGCAGTGTACCTAAAATCCATATTGGTTCATCCTATTGACTATAAACATAATCTCTATTATTTAAGATTTTTTTCCAAATATTTCATCCAAACAGTCATTGTAGTTAAATAAATTCAAAAGAATTCATGTAATAACAATCTAGTCCATACAATAGTTTTTCCATGCGGTTTTTCACTAAATTAACACAAGAAAATTGGAGTGATAATGCAAATGAATCAATAACACAAGAGCTTTGAATTGATTTACTGAAGTGAACAGACTGATGAACTGATTGATGGAAGTAAATCGAACTGAAGAAACATTTTAGGAAATTTAAAGGTCAATTAAAAAGCACATTAAATATTTACAATGCTGAATTTTAAGCAAATGATTTTGAATATATTATTGATATTTGTATGTATAGTGCATCCAGATAATGTAGATTGAATGCATTAGAGAAAATGTTATAAAAAGATGTAAAAATTAATGAATGAATGAATACATAAATAAAATATTTCTAAATATTTTCTATATTAAATATAAAAATATAGGAAATAAGAAAAAATGACATATAGTGCATCCAAATACTGCCGATTGAATGCATTAGGGAAAAACGTTCTAAAATTAATAAAACAAATTAATTAATTAATTGATAATAAAAGAAAATATTGAGAAAACATTTTCTATATTTAATATCAATATTT